CGAGCTTGGGTCCAGGAGGAAGGTGGGAACATGATCTTGAGTATTGTACACAAATATTTTCCGTTGAAAAAGCTTTATTCTTGAATATCTTTTGATCCGCCGTATACAAGTGCAAGCTCAGACTGCGTGTCACTTTCAAACAAATAATTTCTCCATTCTCTCGTGTGCCATGCACTGCTTCTGTCACAGTCTCAACAGCCACTTTGGAAAAAGCTTTATTATTGCTTGCAATGCATTCAAGTCCATATAAACGGGAGTACTCGGCTACTCGCAGCGCTGGGCTCCTTCAGTTCAGTCTGCCACACAATTCAACACGGGAGGAGTGAGACTGAGACATGGAGGCCACGACGAAGAACCAAGAAACAGGCGCCGGCGACAAGAGCGCGCGGCCGTCGCCGCCGGCGCTGCCGTGGTCGGTGAGGCTCCAGCTGTTCGCGCTCGTCACCGCCAACGACATCGCGCAGCGCCGCGACGGGACCGTCAACCGCTTCCTCTTCTCCTTCGGCGACCGGCAATCGCCCGCGAGGCCGCGCCCGGACGCGCACGGCGTCCGCTCCGCCGACGTCACCGTCGACGCCTCCCGGAACCTCTGGGCGCGCGTCTACTCCCCCGCGGCGGAGGCGGCCGGGCGGACCCCGCTCCCCGTCCTCGTCTACTTCCACGGCGGCGGCTTCACGCTGCTCTCCGCGGCCTCCACGCCCATCGACGGCATGTGCCGCCGCTTCTGCCGCGAGCTGGGCGCCGTCGTCGTGTCCGTGAACTACCGCCTCGCGCCCGAGCACCGCCACCCGGCCGCCTACGACGACTGCGTGGACGTGCTCCGCTACCTCGGCGCCACCGGCGGCCTTCCCGCGGATGCCTCCGTCCCGGTCGACCTCTCCCGCTGCTTCCTCGGCGGGGACAGCGCGGGGGGCAACATCGTCCACCACGTCGCCCAGCGGTGGACGGACGCGCCTCCCCCCGGCAGCCCCGTCAGCCTCGCCGGCATCATCCTCCTGCAGCCGTACTTCGGCGGCGAGGAGCGCACGGAGGCGGAGCTGAGGCTGGAGGGCGTGGCGCCGGTGGTGAACATGCGGCGCTCCGACTGGGCGTGGAGGGCGTTCCTGCCGGAGGGGGCGGACCGGAACCACCCGGCGGCGCACGTGACGGGTGAGGCGGGCCCGGAGCCCGAGCTGGCGGAGGCGTTCCCGCCGGCGATGGTGGCCGTCGGCGGGCTGGACCCGCTGCAGGACTGGCAGCGGCGGTACGGCGCCATGCTGCGGCGGAAGGGGAAGGCGGTCAAGGTGCTCGAGTTCCCGGACGCCATCCACGCCTTCTACTGCTTCCCGGAGCTCCCCGACTCCGGCAGGCTCGTGGAGGAGATCAGGGCGTTCATCGGGACCAACGCGCCCACTCATCGCCCCGATGCTTGAGAAGATCTGCGTGATGCGAGGGGTATAATTTGAACTTAATCCCTGTGTGATGCCTATAGCGATCAATTGCGTTTTGGATAATTGAATTGGAAGCTTTGGATCTGAAGTCGATTGAGACGAACTGCCGTGTGAGCCGTGAGGTGTCCGTGCGTGTGCGCCGCATGGAGCACGAGGTCGTCGGTGCACGTGGGACGGGGGGAGAACAGGCCACCCGTGTTCTGCCGGTATCGAGCGCGGACCACACGATGGTGCAATGCAATCCCTCTCAACCGGAGATTTTTTTTTAAGAAACGGTGTTCACACGCAGTGCGACGGCGCCTGAACTGCAACCATTTTTTTTCATTTCACTATCGAACACGCGTGTCAACAATGTACAGAAGCCTGGCATGGAAGGGAAATGCTCGAAAACGAGAGGCCACGAAGATGTAGCGTCACTTATCCTGCTCCAGGGAAAAGATCAGCTTAGAGCAACTCTAACAGACCCCGCATTCTGTCGACCCGTAAAATGCGTTTGCAGTTCGCGCAAAATCATTTTTGTGGGCCGGCTTAGATGGTCACAGATGCAAACCCCTCAAACGGATCCATAAAAAAAATATTCGCAGAATATACTTTTTTACGTGTCGGCTTTGCGAGGTCTGCTCTTTGCACCGCTGCATCCCGCATCTCATCGGTCCGTAAATATCAAATCCAACATAATACAACAATCGAAAGCAAAACTTAATTATTCAAATCAAACATAATACAATAATCATCCATATCTCTACTTTTAAAGGAGCAGTCCGTACGTCGTTGGTTCGTTCGTTCGACCTCCCCTCCCATCGATCCCACATGTTTTTTTCTCCCCTTTTGAAGTCCACCTGGTTGATCAATTTTGTTGGCAGACCGATTCCCTACCTTCCTGCTTTTGTAATCTTCCTTTTTAGACACTTTAATCTTCCTTGTATAGCCACGGACGATCAATCCCAGATCATATCCTTCTCACCCACGACAGCCAAACCCTATGAGCCCTTCCCATCCACGTTTTTCTCCTGTGGCGTCTAGATAGATGAAACAGTGGCGCTCAGGGCAGCATCGGCGGCGGGCTTAGGATGATGGTGGAAGACGGGCGTGAGCTACAGATTTTTCCCTCTACCCGAGCCTGCTCATCTCTCCCATCTTGGTCCCTCTAGGAATGACGTGCGGCGGCGTCGAAGCAAGACAGTGGCACGGCTGCGTGATCGCGCCCTCGAGCGAGTGCGGTGGAGACGAACTGAGGGGCGCGGGGGAGGCAGACTGGAGGCACGGCCGTCGGTGGGTTACTCTGCCATGCCGCTCTTCCTCTCCCCTTGTGTGTGCATCTTCTTCCATCTGGTAATGGTCGCTCCACTCTCCTCTGTTCCGGTTAGAGCACCTTAATTTTTATTTGCCTTACCAACTTGCGGTCAGCCGGGTGTCCGCCACCGTCGCGATGTAAAGTAATCTATTTCATGCATATACGCTTTGTCTCTCCCTTATATCTCTCTTCCATGGGACTTCCTGGCGAGCCGTCGCCCAAATCAAACTCATCAGCAGCAGTTCATGGCAGCAGTCAATCCGTCAATGGGATCAATGCAGACCGCTGCGTGAGGCAATAAGTAAGACTTGTGCACGTACAACCCTGAGCTAGAAACTCGATCTATGTCAATATTTGTTCAAAGCTAATGTATCGATTTATTTGGACTGCTACAGTGATGTGATGTCTTAGAATTTGTTCATCATAACACAGTGTGAACAATTGATTTGGTTCATTGGTTCGGTGAACTGGTGCAGGTGTGTTCATGCCGGTGCCGCCATCACTCTTGGAGGTTTGAAGGGAACAACTGGATGCAATGGTGAATGGATGCAGTTGTATGCTTCTTTCTTGTTCTTGGTGTTCAACAGAAGTTGCAAGTTTATTATGCCTAGAGCTGTTATTTTGTGTATGTACTATAGCCTGTATATTTGCCAAACTGTGTGAATTCTCCTATGACCCGGTATAAATTTTAGCTATCATTTAGTTTATCAATTCAGAACTGATTTTTTATGTTGGTTTTGTGAACCCAATTGCTGCTGTCAGATGGAGCTGTTTTGTTGGAGAAGTTTTGTGGCTGGGGCAATGTCACCAATGACGAGGGGCCTCCATCCTGATAGATTATCTACTGCTGACATGTTTGATTTGCAGAGCTGATGTTGCACGAAGAAACAAGAAACATGTTTGATTTGCAGGGTGATGCTGCACTAATTCTTCAGTTTGTTGTCTTTCCAATCCAAAAGAAGTAAGCGCTTGATTTGGACAAGCCATGGTGACACCAACTCCCAGCCAAAGTGATATGTAATTTGACATAACTTATCCCTGGTTGTGCAATGGAGAAATTAGGGATGCCTGAGATCAGCGATGAGGCGGTGGCATGCGCTCGTCCTCTTAGCCCATGTTTTGCTGCCATGGTGCCCTTCACTTACGTCCGCCTCTAGCTGACGCTTGCAACACCTATCCCTTTCCACAGCTCATCCATAACGCAGGACAACACCACTAATGTGAGCATTGTTCAGTTAATTGTTGCTTTTATTCTTGAAGTCATCTTGGCTCCCTAATTCTAAGCATGACTGTAGTTGTTTGAATTATGTTTGCTACTTTATGTACTCATAAGCATTATTCTTATGTATACGCAGTATTCTTCTTCTTCTTTTCCTTCACCAAAGTGGTTTCATGAACTCATAAGCGCTACACTTTGGTGGCCATGATATTTCTCATGTGGCATCATGTCCTTTTCTATTCAGATCTCAACATGAAATTGTTGGACCAGTTCTAAACTTGATTGGTGGTCGAAGAACAAAAAACTTGGACTCATGTTCACAACCTTGGAGGAGGGAAACATCAAAAGTTCGTTAGTGCAGGACTGTGCTGGGCAGCATGTGAGGCCCCAACCGACGCAGTCGTGCACCAAAGGCCCAGTACACATATACGCTACATCGTGAACTGTGGTCACTGCGTCTACTGGGACTATTTAGGTAATTTGAATTACCCTTGTCTAAAAAATAAAGGCAATTTGAATTTTCTTCCAGTCCCACATGAATGTCAGTAATTAGTATGACACTGGTATTGCAAATCTTCAGTGTCCAGTTTTTTTGGTAACGGAACATTTTGACGCACATAAATGGATTCCAGGAGAACATGATGCGAGCAGTACTGGCAAAAGCATGTGTGGTTAGATATTTGTTCGGAGGAATCATTACAAGAAAATGTGAAAGAGTAAGGTTTGGGAAGGATATGAAAGGAAGCATTGATATTCATGATGGAGTGCTGGTTATAGGATGACAGCCGGCTAGAGGATGAGGGTAGCTTCTTTCTGTTGGTTAAAGATCTCGTGGGTTCCTCCGACGCTAACTATGTCTATATTATTGGTATGTGACTTGCAAATGTTATGCTTAGATGCACTTCTAAATTTTTTACATGCGTATACATATTTTATTTATTGGTTTATCACTAATTTCTACTACAACCTGAGTATTGATCTCATGCATGCTTATACATAATTACTGTTGATTTACAACCATTTGTGATATAGCATTACTTTGCACTGTAATCAGGAAGATGTATCTTGACGATGATCTCATTATTTGACCAAAATTGGGATATATGGGATGGTCTATATATGTGAGACTCGTGGAGGCTAATGTATGATTATTTCATTTCATTTTGATTTCCAGAAAGTGTTCTTTCAACAATATGATAGCATATGGCTCTATTTTACATTTGCTTATAAAAAATGGTCTAAATCAGTTCATAATTTCATATGTGTTGTTTAAAAAAATAATATCATATGTGTTTTCAGTATTAGTTTGGTTTGTCTCAAATGTGACAACAATTAGAAAATGGTGTAAATTTGGTTTAAATTTTAAATCCTTTTGTATGAAAATAAGAATATCATCGGGTATTTGTGGGCATGAAAAACTTCAGGTGTTTGAATATTGAACGACAGGCCATTACCTTCAGCTTCACTAAAGGCAAGCAAACATGGAAATGCTTCTGATCCCTAGAACTTTGAGAAACAAGTGTATTATCGAGGCTTCATCAGTAGAGGCGTAGAGCAACAGGATGGGCCATTGACTACAATCGATCCCAAGAAATGGGTTACCATACTATATAAATACTACTATATTTGGCTAAAATGATGAACAAACTTTCACCTTTTTATACCAAAAACTCAGTTAATGTTTAATCAAGATGTGACAGCACATTTACGAACTTCAGGTTTGGTGGCAGCTAGGCATTGGTCAACTAGCCCAAATTCGCTGCGCTGCAGTTGCCGGGTCATCCGATTTACGCACTACCGTTTGATCTGGATGCTAATAGCCATTCGATTTAAGTTTTTCTTCTGCCCCTACATGAAGCACTGGTCCGCTCATTGCAGCTCACCATGGGTGATTCGTGGAGGGACGGGAATCGACACATCGCACCATAGCTCTTTCCCCTTGCAACACCATCGGCTACCTTGGAGCATCATGTCGACATCATTGAACCACCCCTGGTGGTCACCGTCGATCTCTCCTGGCTTGTAGCACGGTGTCACCATGTTGCAGCTTGCCATCACCCCCGGGTGCAGCTCCTGCCGCAGAGCTGGTTCGAGGAAGAAAAATGTTGACCATGGCACACTGAGGGGCATTTGACTCTGACGGCTCGCCGGGGACCCTCATGTCGTCGCAGTTGCCCAAATTACCCGTCTACCAATTTTTGCCACTGATTCTAGCAAATTGCTTTGCCGGTTATAGCATTCACGTTGCGGGGTCTTCCAAGCATCAGGTCCAGCAAAACTTGCCAATGGTTCCAACAAATAACGTCATCGGCTGTAGCATCTACGTCACGTGGTCTACCTACACAGCAAACATGAGCACATGTTCCAGCAAAACTTAACAGCTATTGAATCTTGCCGACGGTCGGTTTCAACATCTCACCGGTTTCGCCAGGACCTCACCTTCACGCATTGCAGCTTCTGCAGGTGCTG